ATGCGAATATTCGCAACAACCCTGATACATACATACATACATGCATATGTATCGCGATTTCGTAAGGCAACTAATATTTATTGTTTTTTTATGGAAGTCTAGCTCGTTATCTAACAAAAACCGTGCAAGTGCAAAAATTAGAAATTAAAAAGTTTTGAAAGTATTTGAAAATTTAGTTCATTTATGATATTAATCTTTTGAAAATTCATTTCTTAGATAAAAGATTAAATATTTACTAGTACTGGTAACAATCCAAAACTCATTTAGAAACGTTTTCCTGAATTTCACACCTCAACCGTATTGTGGATGACCAATATGTACATCTCTCCCTGAGAGCACTTCCAACTTATTTATATTGCGTTCTGGCTGTTGTTTTTTGTATTTGTTACTGATATGTACATAGTTTTGTAAATTATAATAATACATTTTTAGCATTTTTAGTGGCAGCTGGAACCTGAATACTTTCGTTTGTTTGATATCCAAAACGCATGCGCGAACTGTTGCCCTAGGTAACAATTGCTCACTTTAGTGTTAGTTCAAAACCGTAAATACAGTAAAACTTCGTTAATCCAGATCAATTAAAACCAAGTCACTCCGGGCTAACCAGGAATCCGAATTACCAAAGGCATTAAAATGATTGTGGAAAAACACTTTTAATTGTTAATTAATGTATTATGTGTGACCTATTTTGTGGCATTTCGATAAAAAAAAAACTGACTGTCGCATTTCACACTTATTCGAGAAATTCCCGTGCTACATAGTGATGCATCGTAAAATTCGTTGTTCACGTAAAGGAGGAAATAAATTTAATAAGAGAATATGTAGAAAGTAATGTCTATAAATGGAAATAGCATGAATGTATTGTATTTTATTTTAAATTATCGAACATTGCACACAAGCGGTGGAGTTTTACTGTACTATATATGTATGTACATATAGTGATGCATGCAGTCACTCGTATGTACATTAGACCCATCAAAAAGATAAGATCAAATTGTTGCAATTGATTTTGAACACTTACAATGCGACTTTTTTTTCTATGTATAAGTTTTCTATTTGATGATCGCTTTTTAAGAGTTATAAATATACCATCGTAAAGATGAAATGCATCCAAATACAAACAAATAAAGTTCGATGCTGTTTTTTAATATGGAGAAAATGAGCGACACCTTCAACAAAGAAATATGCGTGCTCAGACTTGCACTTTATAGTACTAAAATTGAATCGCTGATAAACTGCATACTCAACTTTTTTCTAAAGAGTGTAATTAAAAATTGCAATATTTTAATTTTTGTTGTAGAATTGAACATTTTTTTACAAAAAAAAATGCAAAAAACAAAATATTTAAAAAACAGTTTCCGTATTGCAAAAAAAACTCTCTTACTATATCTAAACTTTATTGATTGACTATAAATATATTTTTAATTATTTTAGAGAATAATTGAGCATGTGCAATTCAAAAGATATGGACGTTTTTCTGAAAACCGAACCAGTCGTCACTCGCTGATATCATTTTAAAAAATTTAAACTATTGTGTGTGATAAAAAGAAAACCTTAGTTGCATAGAGATCACTTAAATTATTTGGAAATCATCTAGAAAAGTATGTATGTAGTTAGATGTAAGTTTTAATAGACTGCTAAAAAAATAATTTTTTTTTATTTAAAATATCCTCTTTGGACCTATTTCTAATGTACGTACCCTGCAAACCAAAGTTCCCGAAATCTTAAGGAAATCGTTAGGAGTATCTCATTTCTGTAACGATTTTTTTAAGAATTTTCAAAGAAAATTATATGAAGTGGTTGACACGAACTCGTGAAGAAATTTCTATACGAAAAATAAAGAAAATTTTGGAAAAATTCTGAAAGATATTCTTCACATAGCACCATTATTTTCGTTGCTTCATAGATTTTCTTCCGAAATTTCGTAAAAGAATGGAAGTGTGCGTAATTTATTTCATTTTAGAAAATTCGGCAAAAAATCGAATTAAATCTTAACGAATTCTTCAAAATTTCTTTACAATGCAGAATACTCTGAAAAATGGTTTGCAGGGTAGATACAAATTTACATAAGTACCTACATATGTATGTATGTACGTTAGGGCGGGTCATTTTTTTTTTTAATATGCGGATATAGCATAGGAGGACTCTACGTGCCACCATGGATCTAAAATCAATTTGGAATTTGCCAAATTATGCAAATGGGTTTCGAAGAACATGTGAAAATGTTCACTGTTGCGCCCTCTGGTAGCATTTTTAAGAACAATACAAGTAAAAAAAACACACCATTTTGCATGGTTTTATACAAAATTTAAGCACTTCTTTACGACACTACAGCAAAATGCTAAGAAACCTATTTTAGCAATTTGGCAAACTTCAAATTGATTTTAGACCCATGATTTCTTCAGCAAATTCGCTTGGAATTACACGTAGAATCCTTCTGTGCATACAAATTGACTCGTCCTAATGTGCCTACATCTAATATTTTAGTTAACACAAGGTTAATAAGCCTGTGAGTGTCCTAATGATTGACACTTTCAAATGCATGTCATGTATACCTAAAATACAAACAAATGCATACATACATGTACATATCTATGTATAAGTACCATTTTAGGGTTGGCCGAGCCGGGCGGCCGCCGGGGGCGCCGGACTTTTGAGAATGCCGCGCATACTTACTTAATTAAAACACCTACTTTTATGGAATTATAGTTTTGACGCTTATAGGTGCCAGGGTAATTGAATAGCGCAGTAACAAAGTTTTTGTTCCTATACAAATTTTACCCTATAAGTCCCAGTTAACGCGCGTTTACAACTACGCGCATTTCCTTGCATGCTAATGCGCTAGCTGAGCAATTTTTATTCACCTCATAATTGCCCGAAATTTAAAATCTATCTTGCTTTCAATTCTCACAGGCCCTAAATACTTTAGCCTCGCTATCCATCTTAAATCTAATTGCAGGAAAACTAGATTTTGAAAGTCACATCATAAAGTTTAAAAAGGCAAGCAAAATTCGGTTTTAATAGTATTTCCTTGTGGAACAAAAAGCTATAAATAACAACTTTTTTATTATCAAATATGAATTGACCGGGCGCCTTATTAGTTAACGCCGGCCCTGTACATATGTAGATATGTAATAAAATAAAATAACCTCCAAACTATGTAGATATGTATATTTTATTATAGTTCGGTCTCCTAGACGTTCCTGAAGTCGCTTGAGGTCAGTTATTGATATGAAATCGTATGGGAAAGTACATATTTGCAACTTATACTATTATTTAAGGGAAGCAATTGCGTTTTGAAATTCAAAAAGTGTTGCATTATCATCAAGTATTTTAAATGTGCTTTCCAAATCCTACCGATTCCGGTAGCGGACGTAGTAGGGGTGCAGACGAAACAGCAAATAAAAACCACCTGCTCAAAAACCACCACCAAACAACATTTGTCCTCAAAACAACGCCACTCTTCATGCTTCACGGTTATTACATATTACAAATTTACTCTAACCTACATCACGCCGCCATATATTCGCTGGTAAGACAATCAGCAAGCCACCCATTGCGTCAAGCAGTAAACTCACCTCTCAGCACCGGACACTATCTAGTAAATCGTCTTTTTTATTTTTAAAATATTTAGCGTAAAATTGTCAAAAATATATTTCATACAAGGCATATCCATGATACATCATGGCATTATGGCATGGTATCATGGTCATATCGATGTGCCTTGATTTCATAGCTACAAAAAATTATTGGGATTTAGTTTTGGTGAATGGTGTTTTATATAATTATATAATTATTTATTTTTTGATTTGCCGGAAATGGAAAATCTACTTGAGCACAGTTGTTTATTTAATAATAACTAAATAAGCTACGCAAATATTAACAAATAAATATCTCAAATTGAGTGAAAATGTCTAATGAATTGAACTCGGATGAGGAAAAATATGCAAACGAATCCTTCGAAAATGATACAGACGAGATTCCTGAAATTTCTGAAACAGAGAGTGAAAGCGAAGGAGAGCCGGCAGTTGTGTCTTCAAATAGTAACGTAAGCACTTTAAATTAGTACATATGTAAGCAGAGTAGATTTGTTGATGTTTGCTTTACAGCTGTATGCCTACGCACGGAATCGTTTCAACGGACGCAAAAACTCCTTGCAGAATAAAAATTATGTGCCCTTCGACAGTTCTTCGGAAGACGATCAGGATGTTGTTATCAGTGAAACCATTGCTGAAATCAATACGGAACCAATGTGCATGGAAGACGCCATCCAAACCCAAAGAACACCTATCAATTCTGCGCTAACACGCCGGGGCAGTGAATCTCTTGCTACAGTTGAGATTCCAAATTTTCCATCCTATGCCAGTGATGGTGGCATTATCGACGAAGTCTCGGATAGTGACGAAACAAAAGCCCAATTGTCGTTAGAAAATGAAAGTCAATTGCTGAAAAAATTTAACGATTTAAATTGTGGTAAAGATGAGTTGTCAGCGGCAGTACAATTAGAAGATGAAGTATTAGCAGCCAGCAGCTTTCTTCAGCCGGATGTGGCCTACGAAGAGGAGTCTGTGAACGAGTCCCAAAGGGCGAGCATGAACGATCAGAATACACCATTAGTAGACACTTGTCGACAAGATCTGGTGAGTTTTTCCGATACCGATAACTTCAGCGAATATCCGTCCAAGGAAATGGATAATGAGCCCGTTGAATATGAACCAAGTATTGAGGTGCATATTAGTAGTGAAACACCTTTAAGCTTCAATTCAGATGATTATGCCTTTCATCTAAACTTTTTAAAAAGCAATGGTTCCAATGAGCAATTGCGGTAAGTGGTAATTAATTGTAGATTACTCATTGGTTTGTTAATAATTTTATAACTATGTATAATTGTAGTATCCGCCATCAGCAACGCAAAAGCTGGAGCTTTTCAAATGACCGTATGCGCGAAATAGAGCGTCATAACCACATTCTGCTCCGAAAGATACTCTCTCAAAAGCCAACATACCATTGGGCTACGACAAAACCAACTAAGGTGAGAAACATTTGTTAATTGTTTATAATATCAAGTATAAGATAAAATACTAATTCAAAATAAATTTATACTTATATTTTTATACGTTTCTGAATCGGTTAATATGTATTGTTGGCATTACTAGTTCACAACATTACCCCCGACGACACGCATCACCAGCGCAGCTATCAACCGTAAAAAGAAGCAACGACAGATTGACATGGATAATCAAGGACTTAAAAGACGCATAGAGGCAATATCACTGCGACGTCCAACGGTGCAACATTTAAATTAACAATAAATGTTTCTGGATTTCGGAAACATACACATTTGAATTACTAATTTAGACTAAATGATTAAACCAGGAAAATATATTTTTGTCATTTAAGTATTACTAATAAAAAAGTTTTCGTTTTAGTTATTATGTGGGAAGTAACAATAGAAATAAGTATGTTTTAAAATTTAATCACTCCATTACTTTAATAATGTCTTAATCCAAAAATTTAAAATTTTTTTTTTGTTAAACAGCTATATAATACCCCAAAAGATGGCTGGAACCACAAACTAATTCTTACGATGCCAGGTTACACAAAATATTGATTGTGGAAACAAAACCATATATTCTTTCATAAATATTCTCCAATTGATTGATAGGCGTGAGCCGGATTTTTACAAATTATTATAAAAGTTACAAACAAGAATACAAAAAGAAAAAAATAAAATAAAAGAAGACAGTTAAAGATAATAGCTTCCTTTGCACAAAAAGGGGCATGCAAGTGGCAAATACAAACATTGAGTTAAGCATGCAGAGATTACCGCTAACTCTTCTGTTATGTAAAATGTGCATAGCTGTATCGATTACCGGCATCTCACCAGAACAAAATATGTATTCATTTTTACTATGGGAGTATACCTTAAATAATAAGGCCCTATAAGGATGACAAAACTTCATTGATAATCAAGAATCAAGTCTTTTTGCTGCTAATTGCTTTGAAAGAGCGTTTTTAATGAAGAATGTAACTAGTTTTAAGCTTTAGTAGATTATTTTTTTAGTTGGTTTAATGAGTAATCGGAAGACTTTTTGCACAATACTAGATTTGAAAGGAAAATGAATTAGGGGTTTTCCGTATTAAGGTAACGCATTCAAATGCAAAACTTAGAGTCGTTTACCTGGAGTTTTGCTTTTTTAGTTAAGACACTATTGAAGTTGAGCGAAATAATCAAAAAATTATATCAAGCATACAAAAATGATAATAGAAATAATTACTTTTACACTACATATTATATCGCACTTTTAAAATTACGTGCATTTCTAGCTACGTATATATATTTACTTTACGTTAATCAATAGTTTTGGCGTCTTTCAAAGTTTCAGATTTTTCTATTTCATCAGCCTCATTTAAAAATGTTTCCCCTAATGCCTTTATGGCTTTAAATGCAGCTTCACCATTTTTCTCTTTAAACTCCTGCTCATTCTTCAGTTTGATTTGTTCTCGTTTTTCCAACTCACGATAAATGACTTGTCCTATCTGAAAAATAAATAGCAAATAAAATACCAGAACGCACTGCAAATAATATAGCTTTTTTGAATAAAAGATAACTTACATAAACGTCAATAGCTGCATATAGCAGCTGGTTTTCATCCAGTGGTATAGCATGCCATTTACTCATTCGTACTTTCTTATTCTTGTCCACAGCATGTTCGACCTTAGGGAAAAATTCAAAACGACTGGGGTATTATTTGTCGTTTTTTCTCAATAAGTCCTATTAGCTCTATTCAAGTATTACGTAAGCACCAATGGCGGGCGGGACAAAAAGCAGGCTGGGGTCCGAATGATAATTACATTAGCAACTTTGCTTTCGTTTGCTTACAAGGGGTAGGAGGGGTTACAAAAAACAAAAACTCTGCATACGTAATACTTGCAAGGGCCCAATTATACACATGTACATTCAAAACCTATTTCTTAAAATCGACATCATCCTCAATTTATCCTTTACTTACAATGTAGTTTGCCAAGCGCTCCAGACTCCATCGCCCGCCTGTTTGGCACACTTCATTACACCAAACGCCCAAATCAATGCACTTCTCGATTAGATGATCCGCATTCACTTCGGGGAAATCACGCGCCAACTTCCGAAAGTCACTTAAATCCAAAAATTGACTTAATGCAACCAATATCAGAATTATTTTTACCTTTTTATATTGACGCCATGTAGCCGTACTTTCGGGTGCTTTAGTAGTGCCACCAGGGCAGCTGGCAAACGTTTTAAATTGGTCAGTTGAAAAATATAGCAGCAGTGCTCTTCTACGCAAATTTGTATCACTGCAGATTTACCGGGACCTGTTTGGAATGAGAAAGGCCATTCCATATCAAACGCCATTGGCACTAGATCCACATGTACTTGCTTTTCCACCCATTGACTATATAGGGAAGTTTATACAATTTTTTTTTTTACTTTTACGCGAAACACACGTTACTTACAACACCAAATCTGCTGTTTCAGCTATTTCATGTCCTTCCGTGTAATACTTGATTTCGCCTTTGTATTTTATAAATGGCAGTTTGCGCTTGATTTCTATTTCTTCAGGTATAGCAATATCGCCCTCGGCCATCGAGCGCGTATTACGAGTCAAGCGTGCGCTACGACGTTTTGGAGGGTTGTTATCTTGACCTGTGTTTTCTTTGTCCTGCGGCGCATCTGCACTGACCTGGAAAGGAATATTGCAGAGATAAACGAGAGGATCCCAAATTCACTGCGTCACTGAAACTGAATATCTACCTCATCCTCACTTCTTCTCCTACGCTGTCGAATCATTGCCATAAAAGTTAACTAGTCTCTCATTGCTTTCAAAATCCAAATGAATTTAACCAAAAACAAAACCAGCTGCCAATGTGTCATCGAAAATTGCCCGCCAAACTAGATATTAAACGATACAACTTAATACTCGATACATAAAATTTCGGTATCGATACTTACAAATCAAGCAAAGAGCAGCATTTTCCCCGATAATTTGGAAGGAGCATAATGTAATGGCCCGTTTACATACAACTTTGGCGTTGCGTTGGCGTTGGTGTCGCCTCGACAGCTGACTATGAATACATGCATTTATATGAAAGTCTCCATATAACCAAAGTTGGGCAACGCCAACGCCAACACAACGCAGAAAGATGGCCAACTCTCAACTTTTCGCGCACGTCGTTCGTCAGCTGTTCTAAATAATCAAAATTATGTGATTTAATTTTCATTTTTAATCAAATGCGGGCAAGAAATATAGTTTTTAATGCAATTATTGATGTAAAATTTTGATTTATCTGCCGCTGGTATGTTCATTTAGTGACCAAAGTATTCTCTGCTAAGCGTTCATTGTAGCAAGCACGGGCGTTACTCGCGCTGCTGTCAAAGCGACGCCAGCGGCAACGCAACGCCAAAGTTGTATGTGGACGGGCTGCGTATCTTTATACATTCCGGATAATCCCATTTCACAGCCGGAATAAACAGAATACATTTGAAATATACGTCAACATATCATCAGGAACGTTCTAAAGAATAAATAAACAAAAAAGTTTATTCTAAACGTTCAGAATGAATAAAGAAATGCAGCCTATGGGGAGGAGAAAATTCGAACTTCTCAAGAGCTGTTTGAGACTTTTTTGACAGCTCAATAAAGAAAATCTACTTATATGTAAATTTGTATTAGTCCCCTTTGAGACACGTCAAGTCTTGAATGCAATTTTTTTCGCATTCTCTTTTGTGTTTTCTATTTGCTTCCACACGCGTCAACTTTAATTGAATTAGAGATGCAAATAAAAAAAATACCTGTTTTTCGAACTGATGGATCGGGACAAAAAATTTTTGCCTAGAAGGAACTCAAATTAAAAAAAAAAAACAATTTGTAAAAAACTATTTTTTTGTTGATTTTTTATTTTAAATGTTTAGAGGATCTTACGTTAGTGGCATGAAGCTTTCGCCTGAGAAGACCCCTAGTAAAATTTTCCGGAGAAAAATTTTCTAGAATATATCAATCCTCTAACGACCTTCCAAATTTGCTTTTTGCTTGATTTCTTGAAGTAAGGGTCAAAATGACCCTTTTAGGCGCGAGGTAATGGGTTAAAATGTTCTACGAAAATATTTCCCATGAAATTTTATCATATATGTTGTTGTTGTTGTTGTAGCAGCACGTAGTCCCCGAATTGATTGGTTGCTTATTCATCTTCATCTTCCCCATCTGACTCCTCCAACCTTAAACTATGTTCACATATCTATATTATCTCAATCAAAGCTCGTTTTTTAATCACCCCGTTTACACAGGCAAATCTCAGATTATTAGCCGTCAAATTTGTTGTGCTTGTTATTTTCACATCTCCAGGAAAAGTTATTTTTCTTCTCTGTGCCACCGTGATCACGTTTTTCTGCTATATTAAGCAATATAAATATATTTTAAATTAACATTTTATTAAAAAATACCTTTAAAACCCTCTTTTCCTTGCTAGTGTCCATTTCTGTTTACTTTTACATTTGCCATTTCTCCTCTTCTTCGCAAAAACAATCGATAAAACTAGGATGGACACCTAAAAGTTATCGGTTAAATCTGAGATTATTTTATAATTACAGATTAACAAGGGGGGAATTTTATATGGCTAATCTCTTTTTCTAATTACAGATTAGGAAGTTATGCTCGAAAATGAGGATAATCTACTTATATGTGAACTTAGTATTAGGCCCAGCAAGCGAGCAGTCTCGATAGGTTGTCCACAGCGCTTCGGGTGTCAGATGGGAGGGATATGTAGGGCATGCGAACAAGTGTGCGGTGTTGTGTGGACCAGTTCCGCATGCTGGGCAGTTGTCAGCGATCTCTGGGTCTTATCTGTTTCTGTATGAATTTAAGCGACTGCACCAGCCAGATCAGGGTTGCGCCAGTGTGGTTTGATTTCGCTCAGACATTTATTTTAACTATTTTTTCGACTTTTTTAAAAACTTCTTAGGCCGAGGCATGAAAACTTTAGTAGGCCATGAAATATATATACAAGGTAACTTTTGCAAATCCACCGAGTGTTTTATTACTGGATGGGTATAGTTTCAGAAAATGTTAACAAAGTCCGGGCTGGGTGTATAATGAAATCCTGATATACAAAATACCGAAATACAGAATCCCGAAAGTCATAATCCAGACACGACCAAATCCGACAAGGCATAATCCAGACACGACCAAATCCTGCCATACATAATCCCGACAAGACACAATCCAGACAAGATCGGGATTTTTGTCATGATTGTCTTCTATTTCACTCAAAAATAATGTATAAAAGACACTGTTGTTATTATTGTTGTAAGGGCTTACTTAGCCAGTAATTGTCCGCAGGCTCAACTAACGGTAGGCCCACGAAACTTGATATTTCGATGAGGTAGAACCACAGGGAGAGGGATGTTAGTTGAGTTGGATTCAGGTGGCATGTGAAGAGGTGGTTGGTGTCAAGAGGAGAATCTCCACATGCTGGGCCAGAATTACGCGGGTATCTCGTGGCAGTTGAAGCTCACTCTCATTCACATACGTTAAAACCGGACGGCCAATTGCCCTGGATGTTTGCAACACAGTTTCTTTGCCTTTGGCCAAGTACTGCCGAATTGGAGAATTGAGGAATTTGCTACGGCTCTGTACTTTGTTGGCAATTTCTGTTGTTTGCGCCGGGAACGAGAGCTTCATCCGACAATTTTCC